AAAAAAACAAAGGTGAAAATTGTAAATACGTATTTCCTTTTTAATACAAAGACCAGAGCAGAGGAAAAGAGAAATCAAAATGAAAGTTGTATTAAAGAAATCCTAGCAAAATACAAAAAATATAATTAGTCCTGTCTGAAAAAGAAGAATAGTTGTGAGAAAGGTGTGGAAAGTAGAATTGCACATGAAAATGGATCATAATACATAATTAGCTATAGTGATCATCATTATCGATGTCACTCAATTATTGCCCTTTTTATTTATGTTTTCAAAGTTAGAATATGACCTGTGTACTTGAATATTATTAAATATATGCACTGAGTACATTTGTCCATAATTTTGAAAACTACATACATATTTTAAATATGACTCATGGATTGTGTGGAGAGAGATGCGTGCAAACCTACGTTAAATGTCATGGAAATTTGCATTTGGAAAGATGCATGATTTCTACTAGTATGTAGTCAAGTCCACACTAACACTTTATTTATTAGATGTGTATGGATTCTGTATTTCAGAGGTGATCTATACAATGAAGAAAGAACATGTTCTTTGGGCTTCTCTGCTGCTCTGTCTTGCCCCTGCCCCTCTTAAAGCTGATCCTGAGGAAGGTGAAGAACACACAAATATCACAGGTAAAACATTACATGCGTTTATCTTTTTAAGCTAGTCAAAGCTCTCAATTTTAATTCAAACTCTAGCATATTTTTCCTTTGTGTAGAAAAATTAGTTTTTATTGAAGTGAATTTTTTCTTTGGAAACCTCTTATACCTAGTGTGTCTTTTTTCTTCTTCTTCTTTTTTAAAACTTTGTCCAAAAATAAGATCACTTTAGCTGAAAGACTTCCGTTTTTTCAGGCTACAAACACTGGAGTACCTTTGGGATATTGCAAGGAGCAAAATACTGTGGGAACAACTCTCTAGGGCACTTGATGCCACCCTGGGGTGGGGAAAAGAGTGAGAAGGAAAGAGAACTACAGACATCTAAGGTATCAGCCATTCTCTCATTCTTGTCCATATTCCCAAAGTAAGAATTTCCAAGATGAGTTCAGTGTAAGAATCTAGTCAAGCAGGACACCAAAGCACCTGGTAATACGAGTTATCCCATAAAGCTCTGCATCAAAAAATAAAAATATTAACAATAAAAAATAGAACAAGAGAAGACTATACAGTGATTGTCATTATAAATGTACACCTTTCTTAAAAGTAACATTTTGTGGCAAATTAGCAAATTGTTGATAGCAATCTCAAGTCATCGGTAATAGTGATAGAATATTAACAAAATAATAGCTTCTTTTTGTATAGCAGTTTATGATGTGCAAAAGATTTTCATGAACACATTCTTATTTCATATCTCTAATAAATCTTTAAAGTGATTGTGTTCAGTGTACTTCTCTGTAATAAAGATTGAATAAATACATCTGTTCCTGAAAGTGTGGAAGGTGCTAGGGAAATAGTGATGGCTGAGACCGGGTTCTCCAGAATCTCACAATTTCATAGGGAGATGAAGAGTGGAAGGTTATTTCAGTATAGTGCAGTAAATGGAGTGAAGGAAGCATGCATAGCACTGCCACTGATGCAAAGAGGAAGGAGACTCATCCAAGCTTGGTGATCTGAAAGCTTGGCAAGGGGAAGTGATGTTATAAAATTTCCTGGAGATGGAAAATTATTTAGTACAGTAAATACCATAATATGCCTTTTGAAAATAGGAATTTGACCAATATGAGATGAGTTTCTTCATTCAGCTCTTTTCTCAAAAGGGATTGGGTTAAAGTTCTAACATTCTAGGGGTTACGGAAACAAAGGATGTGGAAGACAAAGTCAGTCCCAACAGGGAAAAGGCAGGCAACCTCAGTTTTGGGAAGTGGGAGGAGAATGGGTCCAAATGTTCCCAATATTCTCCCATTCCAATCTCCCTCAATCAGACTCAGAAAACATGCCCATTAGTCAGGAGGTTCCTGAAATTGTTGCTGCCACAGCCAACCATAAACCAAAGTTAACTCATCAATAATTAAGTGAGAATTTAAAATCACTGTAAGGTAGCTTCCAAACCTAGATGAGTAACAAGGACTTTAGATCTTTAAGTTAGATTTGAAGTCCTCTTGGCTGACTAGCTGCACAGCCTTACCTAGTTTTGTTTTTGTTTTTGCTTTGTTTTTAAATCATTTTGCAATAACATGATCTCACATCTGAATAAACTCAGTTTTGGAGATGTAATTTATCACATGATGCCAAGATCATACCGTCATCCATTTAAACTGAAATAGGGTACTGTTATTTACAGAAAAATATGTACAATTGTATTGCTTCTCTCACAAGTCAATAGTAGACTTTTTAAAAATCAGTCCAACCAGAAGAAAGGATGATATAGAATAAACTTCTTGATAAGACCACAATGATAATAAAAACAGCTTTTAAAAAAATTCCTTTGGGCTGGAATAGAGACGATTAGCTGGGAACATTTAGAGAAAGGCAGATATCTTTTATAGTATTCAGAATCAGACAGTCTTGAGTTTGCAGGTGTGGTTTGCCATCTAGTACCTTTGTTAAATTAAATGAGTTATTTAAACTCTCTGACTTCCAAGGTTCTAAGCTGTAAATAAATGATGTAAATAACTAATTTCATATGGCTGTTATTAAATAGACCATATAAAAAACATCTGGCACATTTTATGATGCAGAGAAGGCAAACAGTACTTGTCTGTGTTCTTCATTGCTGGAGAAATTGAATCCTTTAGTCAGAGAGGCAAGCAGCACATGGACTCTTAGCAAGTTACCTGAAAGCCCTAGATTCACAAACAAGTTCCAGGAGAATGAGAATTCTAGCATGTTCTCAGGTACAAAATATTATAGTGAGCCTTCTATCCAACATCCCAGGACACAGGGAAGGAGAAGGTAAGAATGAAACCCTCAGACTATGAGACATAAAATACATTGCACCAATTAAAAAAATGATTAAATATAAACCATAATCCTACTTTTATGGTTTCATCAGATTAAATTCCTATTAGATCACCCTGTGTTTTGCAGTTTCATGGTAAGAGGCAGATAATCCTTGTCTCTGTCAGCATTTTTGTCAAGTCTCAATTGCAAGTCTCAGGAGAGTTATCCATGACCTCCTGATGCTAGCTTAGGTATCCTATTATATGCTCACACAGCACCCAGAACTTCCTGAATATTTATGTAAGTCAGTCTCTAATGTTTGTATGTCTCATGGAGGAGGAGCTGCTTGTTGCCACCTAATTTACTGTCATATCCTGCAGTGACAGCACAGTGCCTGACACATGCTCGGCACACATTTATTAACATTCGTAAATGTTTATTCAAAGTAAGAAATGAAAACCAAGTCCTTGATTCTATTTATTAGGTTGTCGATTTCTAAACTTTCTGTTTTTTGGATATGAGCATTTATTGCTATTAGTTGTCCTCTCAGGAATGCTTTTGCTGTATCCCACAGGTTTTGATAGTTTGTTTCCCCGTTATCATTTAGTTCGAAGAAGTTCTTGATTTCCCTCTGTATTTCCTCCTTGACCCAGGAGTTAGTCAACAATAGATTGTTTAATTTCCATGACTCTGTGAGGTGGCGAGTATTTCTGTTGGAATTGAACTCTAATTTTAAACCACTATGGTTCGAGAAAGTACATGGTATAATTTCTATTTTTCTGAATTTGTTGAGGTCTGATTCTACGCTTTGTATGAAACCAGAAAAGACCTTGTATAGTCAAAGCAATCTTAAGTAAAAAGAACAAAGTGGGAGGTATCAGTCTACCAGACTTTAAGCTGTACTACCAGGCTATAGTAACTAAAACAGCTTGATACTTGCATAAGAACAGAGACATTGACCTCTGGAACAGGACTGAGAATCCAGAGATGAAACCATCCGCATATGGTAATCTAATCTTTGACAAAGCTGACAAAAACATACACTGGGGAAAAGAATTTCTTTTCAATAAATGGTGCTGGGAAAACTGAATAGCTACATGCAGAAGGTTGAAACTGGACCCCCACCTCTCACCTCTCACAAAAATCAATTCAAGATGGATAGCAGACTTAAACCTAAGGCATGAAACCTTAAGAATTCTAAATGAAGATGTTGGGAAGACCCTTTCAGACATCGGCCTAGAAAAGGAATTCTTGAAAAGAACCCCAAAGCAATCACCGCAGCAACAAAAATAAATAAGTGGGATCTAATCAAATTAAAAAGCTTCTGCACTGCCAAGGAAATTATCATTAGACTGAATAGACAGCCCACAGAATGGGAAAAAATATTTGCTCTCTACACATCTGATAAAGGGCTGATAACCAGAATCTATCTAGAAC